ACTCCCGCCCCCGCGGCCCCGCGCTCCCGGGAACAGCTTTGTTGAGCGGGAGACAGGGGGGCACTGGGGCACTGAGGGACGCTGTGACCTCAGTGACTGTGGGGGGACAGCTCCGAGCCCTGCACCCCATGGCGATGCTGCTGATGATGGGGAGAGGGACCCGGAGCTGCCTGGGACGCCCGGCTCTCCCCATCAGCCCAGACTCGGGGCTGCTTCAGGGTCAGCTTCCCCCCCAGCTCTGCTTCACAGCCTCCCCATCAGGTTAATCAGTCACTGCCGTGGCTGCGGGGAAGGTGACACTGTCCCGGTGCCCGTCCCGGTCCCCTGCCTGTTCTGCCCGGCTGCACGTGGAGCAGCTCCACCACGGGACCCCGGGGCACGTTAACGTTCAACCTGCTTCCAGGCAGGGGGGCAGCTCGGCCGTGATCCTCTCTGCACCCTGGGGGGCACCAATTCTGCCCCCACAGCAGCTCCTTTGGGGCTCAAAGCCCTTCACAGGCCTGGTGTCTGTCTGTCTGTCTGTTCCTGTGGGGTCCCTGTGTGTGGTGGAGAGGGTGACCCCGGTGCTGGCGTGTCCCCACAGCGCTGCAAGGAGCGTGTGAACTCGCTGGCCATCGCGGTGATGAACATGTGGCCGGGGGTGAAGCTGCGGGTGACAGAGGGCTGGGATGAGGACGGGCATCACCTCCCCGACTCTCTGCACTACGAGGGCCGGGCGCTGGATATCACCACGTCCGACCGCGACCGCCACAAGTACGGCATGCTGGCACGCCTGGCCGTGGAGGCCGGCTTCGACTGGGTCTACTATGAGTCCAAGGCGCACATCCATGTCTCTGTCAAAGCAGGTACCACACAGAAGGGGCTGCCACCGGGGCAGGGGGCTGCCATCCCCATAATCATCCCAGCCCACGGCCTTGCAGCCCCTGCAGCCCCTGCAGCCCCTTGATATCCTGGATCCATGTGGGATTATTGCTCTGGTTGGTGTCTGGCCCCAGCCCAGCTCCCCCCACCCTACCTGGCTCCCCAACAGGCAAAAGCCTCACTTTCCCCTCCAAATTTTGGCCAGATGGAGACAACCTTGTGGTTCAGCTCCTGGTGAGGGGAATAGTAATGCAGGCCCAGCCCTGCAGGCCCCAGCCCTGCAGTTGCTCCAGCCAGCAATTCCCATCCAGTCCAGAAATGACAATTGACAGAAAGTGAAAATGGCCATAAAATGTCACCGTTCCAGGCCGGAACAAAGGGCATCAGTGCAGGGTGGACAAAGGGGCCCTGCAGCATTCAGGAGCTGCATGCAGGAACTGGGGGAGCTTTGGAAAATACCCGCTTTGTTCCGGGGGTGGTTTGGGGGTCTGGGGTTGCCGTTTCCCCTCTGGAGGTGGTGGCCCGGTGGAGGTGGCTGGTGGGGACACCGATAACTTTCTCCATCCTCCCAGATAACTCGCTGGCCGTCCGCACCGGTGGCTGCTTTCCCGGCCACGCCACCGTGACGCTGGAGAGCGGCGAGCGCCGGGGCCTGGCTGAGCTGCGCCAGGGTGACTGGGTGCTGGGCGCCGAGCCAGGCGGGCGCCTGGTGCCCACCGAGGTGCTGCTCTTCCTCGACCGGGACCTGGGCCAACGCGCCTCCTTCGTGGCCATCGAGACGGCCAGCCCAGCGCACCGGCTGCTCCT